GTCCGGGGGAGGGTCGACGTCGGGAAGAGGAACTCGTCTTTGGCCTTGGTCAGGATCTTGTGGATCTCGGAGAACTTGATGCGGTCCCGCGGCTCGGCCCGCCAGCAGGCCATCATCAGGTCGCAGATGAACGGGGGGCAGTCGTCCGGTGGTTTCAGCATCGAGCCCTGCAGCACCATCTTCAGAACCTGGAAATTTCAACGGAAATCAAGTTAACGACGGAAGAGAGGCTGCCAAAAACTGGTAAAAAAAACACATTGGATCTAGAGTCCAGACTCTTGAAAACATTGACAAGAAAAAATACTCTTGATTCAATCAGATTTAAGCTTAAATCAAAAGGAAATCCGCTCGAATTAAGAGGCTTGATTCTTGATTAAAGCAAAAATCCGATTAAATCAAGAGTATTTTTTCTTGTTAATGTTTTTAAGAGTCTGGACTCTAGATCCAACGTGGTTTTTTCTTCCAAAGAAGCAATGAAAGCTTCATGTAAAATGTATAAAATTGCTTTTCTAAAACTCACCACTTTCAGTAAATATATTTTATGTCGACGCAGTCTCGAAACGCGTCGACATAAAATATATCAAGTGAAAGTGTGAGTTTTAAAAAAGTAATTTTAACCATTTTGATACACATTTTTACGAAGCCGCCCGAGACAGTGGTAACAGGAGAAAAACAAGTTCAAAAACATCAGTTGGTCTTAGATACCTCTACAAGGGGTACAAGGATCATACTTGGTACTGCGAACAATATTGACTATCTCAATATTTTTCCTGACTTCGCAGGTGGGATTTTTCCCTAGGACAAACCCCGCGAAAACGTCCTGTGGATACAGGGCCTTGCAGCACGTTTTCCACCGTCTAGCCTGACCAGAAAATTGCATTATAGTATCAAAGGCAAATCTCACATCATGATTAGTATCGTCATTTAAGGTGATTCGTCAAGCTCTCTGACGAGGTCGAAGGACATGTGATATATCGCAACAATCAGGTCAAAAATCTTGACAGATTTTGAATTTTTAGCCAAAAAAAGGACGATAGCCCCTTCGCATGAGCCTGAAGAATCATCTTGAACCAAAAAAATGCAAAATTCAGGAAAATAAGAGCAGAGTCCGGTTTGGAAAAAACTTCTTACTCGATACGGAAATCGATTACTGTATCAAATGCGAGGTTCTTCTCCAAACAGGATTCTACTTTCATTTCTCTGAATTTTGCACATTTTTTGGCCTAAAATGATTCTTTGGGCCCATACGCAGGGGCTTTCGTCCTTTTTCTGGCTAAAAATTCAAAATCGGCCGAGAATTTAGACCTGATCGATGCGATGTATCACATGCCATTCGACCACGGCAGAGAGCTTGACGAATCACCTTAACATTAACGGAATGTGTGTTGATGCTAGAGATCTCATCAAAGGTATGACAGGAATATTTGAAAACCAGGATATTAGATCTTTACCTCCTCATTTGAATGACCATAGTAGGGCTGCTTTCCGTAGCTGTAGAGTTCCCAGAGAACCACGCCGAACGACCACACGTCCGACTCCAGGGTAAACCGTCCGTAGACCACGCTCTCTGGTGACATCCATCGGACAGGCAACAGTCTTGATCCTCCAATCTGTAGCATCCATAAAAAAATTCGTGAATTTCCTTTAAAATCCAAATTTTTCAAAATATATCAGCGAGCAAAGCTCAAAGAGCAAAGCAAGACGAGATAAAAAATAATAAATTGCAACCACACATTTAGATGCACGTCATTTAGATGCTTAACCAATACCACGTCCTTTGTCCATTGCAACCACCCGCATTCACCAATAGGGTCCCTCCACACTGGAAAAAAAACACATTGGATCTGGAGTCCAGACTCTTATTAACATCGACAAGAAAAAGTACTCTTGATTCAATCAGAATCTAGCTTAAATCAAGAACCAAGCCTCCTAATTTAAGCGGATTTTGTTTTGATCCAAGCAAAAATCCGATTGAATCAAGAGTATTTTTTCTTTTCAATGTTTTCAAGAGTCTGGACTCTAGATACAATGTGTTTTTTTTTTTTTTTTTTTTTTTTTTTTTTTTTTTTTTTTTTTNCAGTGCATATCCATTTTTTCTTCTTTGTCTATTGCTTTGTCTATGAATTTCAATAATCAGTCCGCTATCAGATTATGCCACTTTGCCCAAACTCTCGAGGGAAAAACCAGGGCCATTTTTTACAGGCTTAGATTTTCACCATTTGGGTATCTCATGTCGCAACTCGATCTATCCAATCATAATGAAGTCAGAGCAACTTTCAGTAATTGACATCTCAATGTTCAATCGATTATAACTCTCAATCAGTAATGCAATCAATAGGTGCAGTGTTGGACACAATGCAGGAGTTTCGTCAAATTTGATGAGTTTGACAGCTTATTGGTCGAGCTGCGCGGCACGTCTCTCGTAAATCACAATTAAAGGCCAGTTAAGTCTGAGACCTGGATTTTTGCCGGACTTCGACGCGGCGCACGGTGAAAACAGTCTTCGAAAGAAGTCGGACATGAAATTCTTCATTAAAACTTAACATATCAACGTTTGTACCGACACTCGATAAAAATATCTTTCGAAGAAAATTTTGCAAGAAAATCAATGAAACCAAACAGAAACATCTAACCCTGGTAAAAATTGGCAGTAGAATCTATGTTCCAAAATACCATAGACGTACAGCCGGTTGTAAGATTTCCAATAGCATCTTTCGCCGGCTACACAATTTCTTATAGCCTTTTATAGCCGATGGCGATGAAGCAACAGCCAGGCAATAAAGTGTATGCTAAACGTTACTAATTACGGATGCTAGGACTTAGTGAGTTTTCGGACCACTGCTCTCTTTTTGGGCCGTAGTATCTTGATTTATTTTGCGAGGAAAGCTCCGTACTTTTGATGGATGCCTGCCATTACTAATATATTACAGCACCTTCAGTTTCGTATGATACTGTGCAATACCTCTGGTGTGAAATAGTTGCTTCAAGCACCATGGCAGGCGGGCAGCCAGCGCAAAACACGCATTGGCGCCTACAAACCTAACAGGGATACTTCACGCGTTGCGCAATGCGTGAAGTATCCCTGTTAGGTTTGTAGGCGCCAGTGCGTCGCCGCTCCGCTTTGTGTTAGGCTCTAATATTTAATCTGGCGGAGTCAGCGTTTTTTAACTCATGATTTTGAAATGTTTGCACATCCTGTATGGATTATTCTCATTTTAATTGATGGAAAAAAATATGTATATAAGGAAAATATAATGTGTGTTCTGTAAATATTAAGGTGGTTCCGTATCAAACTTAATGATTTCCAAAGCACACGAATTTCTACACAATTTCTTATAGCCTTTTATAATCGATGGCGAAAAAGCAACAGCCAGGCGATAATGTGTAAAGCCCGGCAATAGGAACTATAGCCCGGCTGCATAATTTTTTATCGCTTCGTATAGCCCGGCCGTATGATTTTCTGCGCATTCTGCAGCTAGCTATATGATTTTCTGTAGCCTTCTTTAGCCGGCTATAAGAATTCCTATGGTATTTTGAAATGCAGCTCTTATCGCCAATTTTTACCAGGGAAGTTTCGTTTTTATGAAAGATAAGAGCTTTTAAAGCTTTTAAAAACGCGGCACACAGTGAGACCAGCCTTCACAAGAAGTCGGACAAGAAACCTAACCTGATTAAACCTGAAAATTGTAACGTTTATATTATCACTCGAAAAATTTTAAGATGTGTTTTCCGAATATAATTTTTCAAGAAAATCAATGGAACCATTCGGAAACTTCTATACTTCTCGTATATTTTGTTAAACATAAGAGCTTTTAAAGCTTTCACATGGATTCCATTCTGCAAAAAGGGATCAGGAGTATTGCAATGTTGCTAATATCGCGGAACTTCTTTTGTCTTGGAAGAAAAACCTGATCATCCATCAACAGTTCCTATTTTACTGCTAAAAACTGCAAATGTAAGACCATATTTTTTCATGATTTCAGTAATTTAATTGCAAAGGATGAAGTTGCATAATCTTAGCATCATTGCAATGTTTCTAGTTCCTTTTTGCAAAATGCAATCCATATGGTGTCGATCTTATCTATTGACTCGTCGCATCACTGCGCGCCGAGGATGTGCACTTTTACTTTTCGGATGGAAACTGGACTCACTTTGTAATAGTCGCAGGTGTAAATGTCGCGGCTCATGCCAAAGTCGGCGATCTTGACGACGAGTGGTGGGCCGACCAGGCAGTTTCTGGCCGCCAGATCACGGTGCACGAAGCGTTGTTCGGCCAGGTACCTCATGCCCCCGGCGATTTGCTCAGCGATCGAGCACAGGCTTTCCTGCAATACATCAGAATACATTACATACGTACAATACAAAACGTGTATACAAACACTACATGTATATTTGAAATTTTATCATACGTCTTGCGATATTTCTTTCAAAATTTGAAAATTTCAATTTTTTTAAAAAAAACCTTCTCTAAGTTTTAGTTTTCCCCCGCATTTAGACTCAGAGACGGATCCAGAAATTTGGCAACACCGGATTCCCTCCATTTAAACTTCCTATGTTAAATAATCGATTCTTGTCGGAGCACCCCCCCCCCCCAAGAAACGATACATTTTCATAAGTTTAAAAGGAGAAAAAACGTTGCCAATTTGCGGGATCCACCAATGCCGAATTAAACCTGCAGTCCACCGCAATCAGTTTGTGTATATTAGAGTTAGTTTCGAAGTGGGTAATCTACGAGAAACAAATAGAACGCGAGGATTCAATTTTTAGTGACGTAACGGCTGTTCATTTTTTTGCCCAATTGACTGTGAATTTTTGTAGATAACTGTGAATTATAAGTGACAGAACTTTTCCCAGTATAAACACACCAGGGAGTTTGACTAACCTTGTTGATGACTGGGGCTTGGTGATTCTGTGTTACATTGAATACTTGACTATTTCGCCTCAGCACCTCTGCAAGATCGCCGTAAGGCATGAATTCGAATACCATCCAAGGGTTCTTGAGTCCCTCTGAAAAAGAACATAACAAATTCACTTTTGAAATTGGATCAATTCTTGGAAGTTTTAGATCGTCTTTCCCCCTCTCCTTCAGGAAATTCAAAAATTGAGTGCCCTCAAAATAACGCTTGTCACTTTCTTAGATAATTAAAGGCATTTTGAAAAATTGAATTTATAGAAAATATAAAATACGATACGATAAAGTGTTTGTCATGAGCAAATATAGAAAATGACATTTTCAGCATAAAATTCATCTCTGAGGTCGTAGTTCCTTTCAATTTATGGGAACCAGCCAAAACTCGGTTTCAAAGCAACAAAAATTACTGGATGGAATAAGATCAATACTTTAATTAAAACCTTCAGTTTTCACTTTTTCGGCATAGATTATTTCATAATTTCTGGAGCTTTTCAAAGAAACGCCCTAAACTGCAATTTAAGCCACTTAATCCTCATCTAAAACAAGCATTCAACCAGACATTAGTAGTGCCAACATTAATTTGAGTTACCACAGAATAAAATGTTTAAAGATTTGTGTTATATCCCAGTAAATTTCAAACTGACTTCTGTTAATTTATTATCTCCAAGGATGAAACCATTTTAACGCGCAGGATTTGTATTGCACATAAAAATAAAAAAAGAGACCTTTGGAGCGATAAAACACTTATCATGGACTCCGTCTGAACGACGCGTTAAACGCCTTCAAATCTGGCGAGTATGCAAAAATATCTCCTAGGCGTTGAAATAGTTGTATTTTCCGAGATTACCTTGTTACACAGAATGCCCTGAAGGGGCCTTAATGCATTAACATATTGAGTGTACTTTGAGTTTTTTTTCGGGAAACACATCGAGAAAACGCTGCGTGCTCTTCGGCAAGGAAAAAGTAGGTCGGGTTTAGTTTGAGTATGGTACGCTGAGTATTTCTTCTTACCTCGTGGCACAACTCCGACCAAAGTCAGAATGTTTGGATGTTTGAAGGCGCTCATGATCTCGACTTCACGCATCAAGTCCTCTTCAGCCTCCATACTGGCGCCATCTTTTAGTACCTTGACGGCGACAAAATTTGTTTGACCCCCCGAATGAATTTCACCTAAATCGGAAACCAGAACCATTTGAAACAAAACCAAAAATGGAATTCAGATTTTTCTTCATCATAAAGAAACATTACGAAGAAAATGAATATTACCTTCATCTTACATATCATTGTCGAATTGTTGAAAATGTTTGCTGATAGCTATTCCGATGACGGAAAATAAACAATAAAAATCGTTCAGGTCTAATTTTAGGCTCGAAGATAATAATTTTATTTTTTGTAATTGTTGGCTCATCCAAACTGACTTTTCATTCAGAAAAATGGCGAGAGGAATTTCTGTTATTCGATAAGAGCAGAAGCGAATTTTAAGTCCTGAAGAACACTTGACTCAAAGAAAAAAATTAAAATTAAAAAAAGAAAAACAAATTACAGTTTTCTTCACTTTGATATAGAATCTTTTCCAACAGAAAAATAGATCTTCTTTTTCCCCTTTTTTCTTGTAAGAGGGTATTAATTTTAAAAAAATTCAACACCATTTTTCTCTCGTGTTTTCAATTCACGGTCATAACAGGGTTGAGAGCAAAGCAAGAATGCCAGATGTTGAGAAATATCTCTGAATTTAAAATTACAGTCAAGTGATATTACAATGAATGGGATCTATTATGAATTCGACATGGCAAAGGCTTCTCTGTAGCAAATGAAGAAAAATTCATTACGCAACCTTTAAAGGTCGAACTTTGATTAAAGCATCGTCACACCTCCGGAAACAGGAAAAAATTATGACTTCACCTGGTCTCCAGACAGCATGGAGATATACGCTCCTCAAGACTTATCTTCAATTTTAGTTACGACTTTTAGCGTGCATGAAGACTGTTTATGCTTTCAAAATGTTCGTGGAGATTACTAGATTCTTTCGTAGTCATGCTTGCAATGAGTGAGCTTTAGTATGCTCACGAGAATTTGCGAGAAAAATATCATTCTATTGTGAAATGTATGAGCATACGTGACCGCTCACTGGTAGGTATAGAAGGACCACAGTCCGTGGAGAAATATTTACCGAGAGGGGCATTCAAAATTGGTAAAAATTCTGTTTGGTAAATCCGTTTCATGAAATTACGTTTAAATTCAACCGATTTTAAACCCCGTAAACGACACTTTAAAACTTTTTTAATAATATCCTCCAAAATAAGTTTCTAAACTGGAGTGAAGTCAACACCTTGCCTTCACTTCTTTTCGATACCTCCCTCTTTTCATGGACCGTCACAATCAAATTCAAAGGTTTGATAGAGATACACACTGCAACGCTGCCCAATGAACAAAGGGTCTTTAGAATAAAAAATTAAGGCACAAGTTACTGACTACAATATCCCTTCATTTTAAGGGGCTTACTGACTTAATCCAAGGAATCCTGCTTTCATTAATATCACATATGTACAAAATTGAAACAACCTCGTAAGTGCGGGCAGTGTGTGTCACTTACACGGTTATAGCTTCAAGCCACTTATGCCACGAAGGTTCTTAAGTTAACTCTGTTTTTCCATTGATGTTTCTCTTTTTTAAAATTTAAATTTAAAATTTAAATTTTTAAGACAAAAAAACCATAATTTCTAATCTGAACTTACAGAATGAGAAAATTTCGTTTTTTGAACTACATGCTTGAGTTCGGTTTTGTGTGACTTATTCCAGCTCTGAGAGAGAAGGGGGAGGGGAGTGAGAGGTTCATAAACCACTCCTCTATTTTGTGGTATCAATACATCCTAACTTTAAGTTTTTCCTCGATTAAGGGCCCTTTCTCGTGGATGATTTTGTTCGTGCACAGAAAAAAAAGATGGTGCTGACGACGGAGCCTTTTGTTCACAGGGCTCCTGCAGTTTCTTTGTTACACTTACAGAATTTTTTTGTTGTGAGAACAGAACTTCGGTCGTGAGAATAACAGAGTACTCTGTCCTCATAACGGAAGCTTCTGTGACTGTTACAAAAGAAGTGCAGGAGCCCTGGGAGCAGAACTATTTTTTTCAGTGTGCTGTCTCTCCTGACAAAAGGACGAGGCTCCAATTCCACGTGAACCCTGGAAAACATGGAGTTTTATAGACGACAGGGTCCATCTTAATCCATAGCTACGTTCTTACATCGGGAGAGCGACGATATACAGAACAGACTATACTTTGCAATAAGAACTCTTTATTTCGGGTTCACCAACGCACGGAGAAAAAATTCTCGGTTACAAAGACTGAACTTCAGTTCAGATGTTCACTTCAAAGTTTTCTTGAGGTTCTTTTCTTTCCAGTTAACCGAAGAATTTTGACAGTCCTAGACACCGACTTCAAGTTGAGACAACCAAATTTTTCCGTGAGGGACGACAAGTTGATACGAGTATTGCCAAGAAAAGCTTTTGTTACCAGAACTGTAGTTCGGTTCCCATGACTGATAACTTAGGTTACCTCGACTGAAAACTTTAGTGCTCTATACGAACTAATGCTTTTTTTCTGTGCGAAAGTGCCTATCTGGATAGGGAAACTACCTAATGATTAGGTTCGGTTAAGTTAGGTTTAAGGTCAGGTCATAGAGTAGGTATATAGAGTCGTGATGCAAGTGGGAGAGCTGGCGCCACTTTTAAGCATTTTCCAGGTCCCGAATTCCGAGATTCCTGTGCGGCGCCGGGTCCCTCTTTCGATTCATAATCGATTGTTTGCGATACACGGGGACCCAGCCATATTCCACACCGCCATTTTGGATCGAATATATATCGAAAAAGTGACCCCGCACACCGGGCTCGAAACTCGTCGAGCAGAACATGGCGCCAGCTCTCCCACTTACATTACGACTCTGTGTAGTCTATGGGTTAGGTCAGGTTATGTTGGGCAAGGTAAGGTTATGTTGGTTTAGGTTAGGTTGGGCTAGGTTGGGTTAGGTGTAGGACTGCTTTTAAAATGAGGCAGAAATAGTTGTTCCTCATCAAAAAATATATCCGTGGGTGGTTCTCTCAGACCGATAGTGATGGAATGCTTACCTTTATACACCTTGCCGAAACAGCCCTCTCCGATTTCCTGGCAGAAGACGATGGAGTCCCTGGACAGAAGCGGGATCGGTGCCGTCATTTCTGAGATCGAGGCTGGCGAATACTGTGGATTGATAGTAAATCTGTCCTCAGTCAATAGACCGTTACTCAAAAAGGCTGGCATAGCCTGATAACAACAATATTCCAGGATACATTCAAGGAAATCCAAAGGCTTCCTCGCATTATTCCGTCCCTTCACCGGGAGGAAAAGTTGGCAGAAATGAAGCAGGCACAATAGTTACATGGTGGGAGAATAACGCCGGGTCCGCACTATTCTACGGGACAATCAAAGACGAAAGATTCCAAAAAAATTTCATTTGAGTCAAAAATATGAGTCCTGATGAGTATCAGTACAAGACAAAGAGGTGCACTGCCTCGCTAAGGAAGAACGCCGCATGAGCCTTCAGACGTTGCCAAGTTTCCTTCGATAAAAATCGACTTTACTGGGAAAGTTGTGAATATTTTTTCCCGGAATTTTCAGACTATTTTGTACGCAATTTAATCTAAACTATCTGAAAATTTCAAAGAAAAATGTGCACGTAGGGCTGGGTCATGCTGAGAGATCTATATTGCCATGCTAAGAATGATCGTCGTATGAACTTCGTACGTTGACAACATTTCCTTTGACAAAACAAGAATCCTTTGGAAAAACTCGTGAAAATTTAAATTTTTAAGATAATTTTTTTCGTAATGTTATCTAAAGTACTTGAAAATTTCGTAAATATTCGTACTGAAAGTATGAGTGGAAATACTCATAATTTTTTTCAAACATTAATATTCTAAGAGGGTGTCTTTGGCAACGTGTGAATATAATTATGCGGCGTTTTTTCTTAGTACGGCAATATTGAGATTTACCTACGGTGAACCTCCCCCATTCGTGTTACAATGATACTCTATGACTTTAATGAAATTTTTTTTGCATTTTTCGGCCTTGATATCCCCGCAGAATGGTGTGAATCCAGCACTCTTCTACCATCCTGTCACCTACAGTTTGAGTCATATTTTAAGTGTTTTTGTTCCCGTCACAATAGTCACTGAACATAAGAATACTTGGTAATTTTACGATTCTACTTAGCGAAAATAACGTTCTGTGCCACCTATTTCAAGAACCAGGGGGTTTCTTGGGATAAAATCAAGTCAAATCGGAGCTTTTCCTGATAATTGATAATACCCAAGGATTTCACCAACTTTACAGTGACATTACTGTATTCTGCAGAATTTATGAGAATTCTTGATGGTTATTACTAACCGAAAAGCAAGGTAATTTTGACTGATAATATTCAGCGAACAACCGTCAAACTTGATGATTCTTAAAGTTGATGGTTAAACTATGCAGACACGTGCTTCAATTTGCAACGTTGTAAATTTCCTGTAATACACCACTTCATTTCAAAAGAACTCGCCGTTTTGAGCTTGTAAAATTTTGCATGGTTTTACTTTCACTACGTGAAATTTTTCCATAAATGTATCATGGGAACATATGAGTTCTAATTTTTGTGAGAAACCCCAACGGTGGCGGAAACTTTGAAACATCGTAGAAAAGACATGAGCTAATCTAGTGTCACCATCGATAAATTTAAGGCTCATCATATTTTTTTGCTGAATGTCCCGTAGCCTGCTGCGTAATTGATTCTACGCATTACTGCGACCGAACATTCATTAACACTTGACTTCATAATGGAAAATTTGCAAATTATCAGAAATTCCTAAATTCATGGAAAAAATTGTGCGCACTTCATTTTTACCAATGTATTCCTCTTAGTGTTTCACGCTTGCTACCAGCACATTAAATCTGACTCCAAATAGCGTAACATTCCAAGAAGAGAAAAGTTACAGTAGCCAAGGTTACGGGGCGTATGAAAAGTCATTCATAATTTTGAGTCATGCGCGACATGATTTTGTGTGGTAGTGTACTTTTTTTCTCTCTTTTATTTTACTCTATGAAAAAACTTGCTGAGTCAAACATTTTCAGCAGCTTTATCCTTTCCCATGTTGTAAGGTTGTCATTTCTCTCCACTCCATTACATTTCTCTCCTCGTATTTTTAATCAATTAAGAGATAATCCTGATGCAATTCATGGCTTTTAATAGGTTTTCACAATTTAAAATATCAAGTTGATTGAATCATTAAAATATATTAATACTGGAGCAAAAATTACTTGTTCCAAGCAGATATATTCTTAAAATATGTCACCAAAAAGATTTTACCATAAACCACGAGGAAAAATTCGAATGTGACAGAGAAAACAGGCTTATGTTTAAGAAAAAAGTAGCTAATTTGTAGGAGAAACTCTTTTGATTCCGTTAAGCTGTGCATTTTATTCTTGATTCAAGAGGACAATTGCAGATTCAAGAATATTGCTTCTTAAATCAAATATTTTTTTTTGCAGTGCGAGTACTTATTTGCGTAGGAGCGCACTCGTGCTCCTAAGAATTCAAGTATAACCCACTGCAAAGCAATTTTCATTTTTTGACTCACCAACATTTGTTTTTTCTTCTTCTTTTTCTTCTGCTGTTTGAGGTAACATTGCCGGAACCAGCAGAAACAGAATGTGAAAATACATATAGTTACTATCGCTAGACCACCACTCAGCCAAAAGGGATCACGAATCAGTTCTGGTCCTACATCGGGAGCTTCGTCGATGTGTTTGCTGGGGACCTGGAAAATTACCGAAGATCAGGAATAATTAGTATGTGAACCGAATCTTTTATTCGTGATGTGTGCGAAAAAAGGAGCATTGCGTGCGGCTTAAAATTGGATCGCGTTTAGCAAAAAGGAACCAGCGCTTGTACAGCGGTGTAAAAATGTTGCTTCTTCAGAGCCAGATTTAGGGGGTGGCCACATGGGCCGCTGCCCTTGGCGGCAAATTAGAGGGCGGAAAATTTTGCAATTTTTTTAAATGTAGGTATAAAAAAAATCGGATTCAGAAAAAACAGAAAAAAATTACAAACGAGAAAAGGCGACAAAATTTCTCAATTCCAGAGAGTATAATAAGTTCTAATTTTGTCGTCTTTCGGTGATACAAGAGACAGCACCTTTAATTAGTCGAGTTAAGAGAGAAACCAAACACGCAATTTGGTCTGGAACGGTGCGGCGCAGAGGGCAATGATGACGAGGACTTGAGATGAAAAGGAGAAACCCTCGGCGTAGCAATCGGCACGTAACACATATTAGCGCCTACAAGACTCCATGAATACTTCACGCATTGCGTCAAACACGACGCGGTCAGCAGCGGTCGACGTGCGTAAAACGCACAGCGCCTACAAGACTGCATGAATACTTCACGCATTGCATCAAATACAGTGCGGTAAGCGCGGCGCGGCGGCAGAAGTTAAACTTATAAAACCACATTTATGTTTGTTCTTTCATAATTTTTTGGTTCATTTCTTATAAATGGAAGGCCTTTGTCCACATAGAGATAGGTTTACGGAACTTAACTTTCACCCAAAGTTCCGTGAACTTTTGCTAGTAGTGTTGACAGGGCTTTCGCAAAAAAATGTTTCCAACACAAGTAAACCCGTCTTATGCACCCCTCCCCCTCCGGATCATGGTTTTTATTTATGTTTCAAAACGAATGAGAAGGGGCGGCAAAATACAGGCGGCCCATGGGCGGCAAGTAGGTAAATGGCTGGCCGTGTGCTTCTTCATAATTTTCTGACAAATGTTCCAGAATGGCAAATAGTTTTGGCTTTCCGCCGAAAAATTGTTAATTTGGAAGGAAAATAATCGTGTGAATTTCAATACTGTACACACATATTAAGTATTCTTGGAATATAATAAGAAGCTGCAAGATTTTGAAAACTTCGTAATCGCGCTGGTTCCTTTTTGCTAAATTTTATCCAATTGAGAAACCGGTGCTATCACAAAGAAGAGTGTTCCCCAACATTCTGGTACAAAAGATATCTAAAAAGGTCAATTCAAACCGAAGTTCAACCCTTTAATGTTCGCGAGTTTAAAAAATGTAATTTCGAGATAAACATTCCTAGATTTTTTGCCTATCATATTCGGAACTCAAAATTGTGGAATTAATTAATACACCAAAAACAACGGATGTTGTTGGCACAAAATTGAGCCGACGGGTAAAAATTTGTTCTCCGGGACAGTGATTCAGAACTCATATTTCATTTCTTTACTTTTAGTAATAAACCACAGAAAACTATATGATACGTTAAAACCAATTGAAGCATTATAGGAATATTGACGATATCGCGATAAAAATCGGTTATAGTTTAATATTTTGGTAAAATAGGCAACGCTGGAACTTAGTTTAAAGTGTGAGAGATACAAAAAAAGAACCCTCAGTCAGTATCGCATTCGACAAAACGCGACGCACATTGAACTGATTTCATTATAACGCCTGGATGCAACTATTCGACCCTTCCGGATGTCCGTGTTGCATACGCTCGACAGTGAAGGCGTTTTGACTGTCCGTGCATGCACCCATCGCTTCACTCCCAGCGCGGCGGGATGGAACTGCACCGCGAATATTCAAAATAACGTAATGCTTTCAATTGAGGGGCTTGGGAGACAAGAGGAATATGTACGTGCAAACAACCATTACACAAACATATCCACCAAAATTTTTGCTCACACTTGTTTATCCTTCAAACGTAGAATACTTAACTTCACTTAATTGAAAACATTGTTACATTTCAACCAGATACCTAACATTAATAATGATTTTCTTTGTCTCTTATCCTCAGCTTCAACGGCAGTCGCTCGCGTTTCGACCACATCAAATGCACAAATCTTCAGTTGCCTTTGTTGGCATTTGTGCCTTTAGAATTTTACTCCGTCGTCCATGATTTACTTTCAATGAAATATTCGGTGAAATTTCAATAAGATGCGTCTTATTCAGATCTATATAGCCGAAATACTAATATTTATAGATCTAAGCTCCGACTTACAGTGGATCGAGTCACTCAGAGAGGTCGAATATGAAATTTTTGACTAAAATTGAACATTTTTATGTTTAATTCGTCGCATTTTAAACTTTAAGGGGTGGTTCTGGAAGAGCATTTCACGAGGAAGCCAATAGAACCACTTTTAAAAGCTCAACGTTTTGTATGAGCGTAGTTATAAGCTTTTAGAGTTTCCAAGTTTTGTCCGACCTCTCCTATTCACTCGATCCACTGTGCGAAATAAGTAACTGTTTCCATATCATAGTAGACTTACCATGGTGGTGGTCCGCGGGGTAGTCGTTCGGGCCGCTAAGGGTGACGGCGCGTTTTTCTCGTTCGGGATAATGACCCGAATCGGGGCTGAGTTGTGGACTGGAACTGAAAAACAAATCAAAATTAGGTTTTCATGTATGGCATTGTTTGGAGTTTTATCGGATAGCGCTGAGCAAATCCGCAAGGAAAAATATGGATGGCTGATTTAACAATTCAATTGTTAAGACATGTGTCCCATATCGATGACGTAAGTCGGCAATATGTCGGCAATATGTATGAAAATGTCCTCCTCTATTTTATTTTTTTAAAGGAGAACAAATTTACATTATTCCTTGAAGTTTTTGCAGAATTTTCTTCGCACAGAGAAGAAAAATCACGGCGGTTTTAAAGCCTTAGAGGAGGCTCTAAGGCTTAAAAGCCGTTAAAGAACCGTCGTTTAGTAGTTTTCCGTTTAAAAAATAAAGTATTACAGGAAGTCTGCGACGTCGCGAACCGAGTTATATGTGACCGCCGACTTACACCGTCGGAATGTATGGTTTTCCTCCACGCACTCTCACAATTATTCCACAAAACAACCAAATCAGTCATTAACAGTTCCGCTTAAAAAATGCAATATAAATATCGATTTTGAAACACCATGATGAGGTCGCGTGTTTTTTGTGTCAAGCCTTCGAGTTATTAAAAAAACACTCTCTGCGACGTGCAAATAATTACCTAGTTTTTACTTTATTTTTGGGACCCACTAATTGCTCCCGAGTTGAAGTCACGCATTTTATCACTAAAAAATATCAGGCTGAAACGACATTTAAAAATTAAAATTAGAGTGAGTATGGTAACAAGAGTGGTTTGTTTCGCATCATTGGGATAAGAAATATAGTGCGACAGAGAGGGTTAAAAAAGAACTAGCAGCAACTGCTGAGAGCCCTTATTTCACCTTTTTCATTGGAACTTGACGCAAGAAATAACCTTCAAAATTGATGATTTCTATCCAGAGGACAGAGTGCTTTTTTGCTATTACACCCATGAAAAGTCTACTCGCACGATCGTGTCCATCTTGCGTACAATGGACGCATTTTCCGTGCAATGGGCATGTTTCCTGTTTTGTGAGAAAGCTAATGGAGCCTCTGCTTTGTTTAAAATTGACAAACAAGCTGCAAAAAAGCACTTAAAGTTGAGGGGCTCGGAGGACGAAGGCGCATAAGTGCAGTTTTTGCTATTTCACGAAATACGTGTTCAAGGTTACAAAATTATATTAAGCCTTGTGGAAGGAAGGAAGTTTAAACTCACATTTTATGCTTTAAAGTTTGATTTAAGTTGGGAATTTTTCACAGAATATACTTTTAAACTAGTTTTAATTGAGTTTATGAATTAATATCCCAATTTTTTCAAAAACTGCACTTATGCGCCTTGTCCTTCAAGCCCCTCAGTTGAGATCACAATAGCAACACTCCCTCATCTGTCAAACTTTTCACTTCAATGATCAATCAAACTCTGTTAAAAGTCTGGGCTAAATTTATCTATGAAACGCATTTTCCGTGGTATTATAATCATTAAAATAAGGATAAAAGAAGCCGAACCACGCATTTTTTAACTTTTCAAAGTTTGAAAAGTTGAAAAAGCGTGTTTCGGTTTGTTTTTCCTGTTGGCGTTATCCTTATTCTAACTAAATTCATCATTAACAGAGTTTCTATCCCTTCATTCGGCTATATTTTATATCCTTACCCCGACAAATCTCTACGATCTAGCGATGTCACATTTTTCGCTCTGCTTTTCTCTCTCTCGTTTTTAAATTTTTCAGTCGAATTCGAGATCATTCTCAAAAAGTTGTTCAATTACCAGAAATTTTTTGCTCATGTATAACAGTCACGCACGCTGCTACCCATTATGGACACCATTGTTTTTGACGCACAGGTGTTTTTTTTCAACGGTGGATTATGTTCATCTCTATTTTAAATCATATACGGATGTGCACTCCACAGGTTGACGGCAGCGTGACAGGCTGACGACAGTATGATGCGTCGAGATGAAACTGAGAGTGTCATGGTGAGGAGCAGGAATATCAAACAGTTTTTGTGTACTACCTGCAACTTTTCAAGATTCTAGTGCGTCATTGTGAGAGTATTTTTATATCAACCAAAATTTTGCGATTTCACACAGCGCATTTGCACGGCCTCTCGCAAAGACTCTCCATTTATGTCTGAAAGTTTTCATCAGTGCAGTGATACACATTGAAAGATATCTTGCTCTATTCGCAAAGACCATATTTTTGAACAGATACTTGATTTAAAGAAGTTTTGCCGGAAGTATTGTTAGATTCAAGTTACCTGAGTTACTTTTACTTGAGCGTTCTCAAATATTTGCTGTGTAAGGATTGTTAATTTTGTCATGTGCGATATAAGTGCAAAGATTACAGACGTTAAGGATCAAAATATTTTGACTTGTAGAATCGCGTAAAATATTCGGAGCATACTTTTTAAAATTTCTGATTTCTTTGTAAACTTAATAAAAATGAACAGTTCTCTATAAAGTTTTCATCTAGAAAATCGTGTCTACAGACCTGGTCAAAGGACTCTGATGAATAGGAGCTCTCTTCATGACCATCCTTCGTCAATTAAGTATTGGTATGTTTTTATTTGACAAAGATACACAGATTACGTTCACAACGATATTGGTTAAAAAGTCTGCCATGCAAAATTGGAAAAACTAGTGTGGGGAGACATCGAATTTCCTTGGATCTGAAACTTGTTTTGCGAAAACTATTGGGGTGGCTAAACTTTGGAAATATGTAATTCGGTTCGAAAACTTCTCTTCTTTGCGACGTTGCATGTTTTTCGTCCTCCTCCCTTTTATAAATACTGGAGGACTATATGAGTCAGTGTTTGAATATTTCCCTGTTATCCTTACCTACTCTGTTCTCAGAATATTTAATGGAATTTAAAGGAATGAAATCTGTCCTCCTTCAGCCGTAGTGAGACGAAAATATAATGGGAATGGAAATTTGAAATTGAACCTCTGTAATAATTAAGGTGCCTACGCATTTTCAAATATTATGCAAAGAGATTTTCAATATCGTATGCTTCATGGTTCTTTGAAATCTGATTCAAGTCTACTCAGTCACTGAATTAGTTCTTTAAATTTCGCTCCTCAAACTTTCTGATCGGATCCTATACAGATTCATTTGTAATGAAATTACGATTATGTTCAAGTAAAATACTAAGTTCGGAAAAGTGAGGATTAGCCCTGGCAAATTGTGATGTCTGCGCTCAAACTGCATTATGTCTAACGCATTTTGGAAAAATCCCGAAATAATTAAAAAAAAATTAGCATTTGCCAAGGCCGATTTTGCCCAAAGATGTCGAGGGCAAATCTCGAATATTTGGAAAGAAGAAAAATATTTACGTCCGATCAAATTGCAAAATTGCAAAGGTTAAAAAAGTGGCTGAGGAAGAAGTTCTAAGTTAAAATTAGTTTTGCGTTTGAATATCGGTGATATGGGCTTTTGAAAAATACTGATTTACGATCCTCCGCACTTTTGATTGGAATTTACTCCGAAAACCTTAAATTTACGAATAATTTTATAACACCTTAATCAAAATGTACGTGTAGCACATGGTTGGTGAAACTTCAAGAATACGAATTTCGTCTTGCTGCTCACTGAAGACTCCCCGGCATAATTTGTTTTTTCAGTGGAAAATAGCTCAATGTCATCCCTTGAAAACTTCCTTGATTTTTATTTTCTGTGAAAAAAATTGTCTGTGAAAATTTCAAGCATTAGTCTTGGTTTGTTCATTTTTGACTGAAAAAAAAGGACCAGTAGAAGAGTTGTTTAAAAACCGCTAACGAGATTCGCGGTTTGTGAGTTGCAGCCTCGATTTATTACTCGTGCATTACAACCACAGGAAAATGACGAGAAAATAAAGTAAAAAACGGACAACACCATGACCGCAAGCATAGACTGATTGATATTTACTTCCTCGCTTTCCCTGTCGGTAGTGTTTTCCATTTTTTTCGATTTTTTCTCAGTATTCATTTTTTTCATTAGATGGAAAGTGTTTTTCAGTGAATTCAATTTCCTGTACGTTCCTCACATAGACAGCACGCATACCTCTCACTAAATTGTATAGTTTTTATCGCCCTCTTAAAATTAATTTAAAGCACAGAGGATTGTGAGGCTGGATTTTTCAAAAGGCAATCACCATTGTTCAATCAAATACTCTCAACGCATACAGAAAACACACCGTAATCCCAATTTCTCTCAAGCCGTTCTGCCGTGCTAAGGAAGAGCATTTTCGAGTTACCGAGTTTGTGTGTTTTCATTATTACTGATTCAATTGCAACCTACCTGATTGTTTCGTGATTGACCCGGGCAAAATCCGGTTTTTTTAAAGTATTTCAAGATTCGCTCGAATTGCGCCAGGCAAATCGTGGTTTGACCGAGCGCAGATCGATATGCCTGTGAATTGGAGTTTGAACGAACGCATACATCGAATGATCACTCTGTTTTGTAGCATACCGCTTACTAACTTTGTGAAAATATCCTGCAGCCTGATTGTTAAAATTTTGTATTTGTCGACCGGTGAAGAGAAGATTAATAGAGTCATGTGATTTTAGTAGGTGCTCTGAGTCGCGAGTTTTGTATTTGAGTAGAATAGGATTTAAAAGGATGAATAAAGCATCGGCTAGAGTAAATATCGGATGAAGTAAAATTCATGAGGTACCTTTAGCTTCTCATTGATTACACCCTTCACCGGCGCAACAAGACGCGCGAACAACTCAGAGTATGGAGCAATCACATCACTCCATTCTCCTTAATATTTTCTTAACCGGTCGAAGAGCACACACGATTTCAACAATCAGGCTATAGGGATGAAATAAGATGCGTGAACTGTCTCAAAACAACTGTCGAAAGGACTGGTTTGAGAAACCCGTGCTGGTATTGAAAATCGGTTCGTGAGAGGTTGTGTTCCTCAACCTCAGCTGAAAATGGAGACCTTGTCGAGCTTTTTCGGTGAAAACTTGATCGAGTTTCAGCGAGTTTATACGAGAGCGTGTAAGAAAATCCTCACAGACTTTGGACCGATTTCTATCTTTAGATGAGCGAGGTT